GTGACTGTGGATGCACTATCGACACTCTTCTGGCTCCTCTAAACTCTAAACTCCAAGAAAATTTGTCGATCACCTTCAAAGTTCGTCGCCCGAACGTGTGACGATGGCAGGCGAAGCCAGCTGCAACAGCATGAGGCAGGCGCTGCCCACCGTAGGCACGTGCATGCTATTGCCCACAAGCTGCTTTGACAGTGACTTGGACTTCAGATCACTGAGTCGCCGAACTAAATCCTGGCTGAAGCCCATGAGCCTGGCCATGTCAGCCGCCTGGATAAAGACCCAAAAACACTTAACGAAGGCGATGTCGACACAGGATAAAGCCAAAGAAAGCTGTATGTTGAACCAACCTTCATGCCAGTGCAACGGCCGAGGAGCAGTCAAGATACGAGCCCAGCTGGTCACAAGCACGCTTGAGTTGGTGGCAAAGGCGCCTACAAGTCCGTCGCTTCGGGCTTGGCAGCGTACTATGTTCTGCGACAGGTCGCAGACGAAGTCCTTGCCGTGCTTCTTGGCCAGCAATGCCACCATGTGCCTGCAAGCAGTCTGGATGGGGGCATGCGAACCCAGACAGACGAATCAGCCGACCCACCCAAATTGCAAACCATAAGTGCAAGTGGCCTGGCACGAGGATTCTTCAACGTGTCGATGATGGCGCCGATGTGGTCTGGCAAGCCCGACAAGTCGGAGATGCCATGCTCTCGGGCCCAATCCTGGTGCTGCTGGCACCATTTGCATGAGGCGTCCCTCTCTTGCCCTGCCTTTTGCTGTCGGGTGCACTCACGACAGTGACAAGGATGGCATGGACAAGGCTGGCAGGGCAGTTCCAAGCACCTGCATGCAACTGCCCTGCAGGTGCTTGGAGCTTGGCCTTTCGTCCTTTCTCCATCCAGAAATCCAGCCAAAACATCTGTGACGTTGCCCTGAACTGGCTGCGCAGCCAGCACACGTTGCTTCGCCTCCTCTATCCATTGTCCCATGCTCCGCTCGTCTTGAAAACGACATTTCTCCTTCTTGACAATGAAGACAAACCTTGACAAACATTGACAGTCGTATCAGGCACTATCGCGTTCACATACACTGACAGCAGTCGAGGCACATGCGGGCTCTCTTGGTGCAGAACCCCATGGCAGCAGGATCGAAGCGAGTGCAGTGCACCAGAAATCCGGCGAGGCGAAGTTCTTCCAGCATCGGCTCCATGTGAGACCTGTCTGGCAAGCAGGGCTTGTGGCCGGAGTCATGACCACAGACTGTCAGGAACGAACCAAGTACATGGCTTCTTCCCCGAATCTTGCCGAGGAACTGATTTGCTTTTGACAACAGGCTCACCGAGTTTTCCACCAAAGCCACGTCCGCATTGGCCGCTTGTTTCAACGCCTTTCCCAGCAGCTCTGCTCGGCGATCTTCCCAGCCTTTCCGAACATGATTCCTGGGACTGAAGCTTTGGCACGGCGACCCAGCAACATAAAGCAGGCACTCATCTGCCGAGTCGTTGCTGAAGCTGTGGTGGCACATATCCTCCTTCAGGACAGTGACCTGGTTCTTCAAGAATGCCCTTGTGCGACAGTCCTGCTCCGAGCCCGAGCGGTGGTCCCATCCAAGTGGGAGCAGCTCGCCGACTTGGCTTAACGCGTCCCCTGGTGCGTCAGCTCCTGTGCAGTCCGTCCGCAAGCAAACCTTATACGGCTGCTTCCAGTCATTGACAATGACTGCCTTTGCCCACCACGGTGGGTGAACTTCAGCGTCCAAAACCACAGGCACAGACATTTCAGCCAGAGGCACTGGACCCGAGCCCAAGCCCGGCTTCAGCGACGTGTGCCTGGGACCCAGGCAAGGCTAAGCCCTTATTCCCTTTTCAGGTTGCTTCATAAGTTAACAAACCAAAATGGGTGCCCTCTGCTAGCACTTTCTCTTCGGTCTAGGTGCTTCCTCTTTGCGGTCCTTCTTGGTGGCGGGCTCGGCTTGGGTTCCGCCTGTGCAACGTCTGCCTGACCTGGCTCAGTGACAATGATCGGCATGCGTCCACGCTTGAACCTGGTTGGGCCGACGTCTGCTGCCACATGCCCTGGAGTCGAAGGCTCGGACGTGGTTGGCCGTACGTCAGGGGTCCCATGCCCTGGATCCGAAGCCTCCCGCAGCAAAATGCAGCGGCGCTTGGGCATGGCTGTGATGGGGTTTGCTCTGGTTTTTCGGGTTTAAGGTGTGTAAAAGCTAGGGTTCAACAAATTCGGGTTTAGGGCTTGCAGACCTAGCTTACCCGTAGAGGAGTAGGTAATCACCCCTTAGTTCGAGGGCAGAACCCTTACCACGGTTGGTTTTTGGTAGAGTTCAGAGCTAGAGGTTGGGGTTGAGTGTTTGGGTAGGCTGTTTGGGAGTTTGGCGGCAATCCTAAACTCCAAGCTCAATATCTCTGGATTCGGGGGTTTCACCTGTTTAGGATTTAGAATCTTCGGCTTGGCTCAGCTTGGCGTGTATTTGTGCAGTCTCCTCAACGTCTAGTATTCCAGGTGCACTGTTTAGGGCAGTTTTCGGGTTTAGGGTTTAGGGCTGGTTTCGGCAGTGGGCAAGAAATCTTCGCCTCTCCTGCTTTGGGCCCCCAGCTGCAGAGTGAGACGATCATACTTGCATTCTGGC